TGTCATCCACATACAAGGATATAATAACACATTCTCCATTCAAAGTTTTTGCACACGCACATATATGAGCATCAAAAGATGAAAATCCACCAGGAATTAAAGTTTTATCAAATGTCTCATGCCATTCTTTAGGATTCTGTTTTTACAAACTTTTTTTCTTGACCCTTAACCTCACAACCTCTAGGTTGAGTCATATAAATTTCTTCTTCTAAGTCACCATTTAAAAATGCAATTTTGACATCCATTTGATAAATCACTAATTTATGAATGGAAGTTAAAACAATCAAAACACGAATAGAAAAATTCTAGTAACAGGAGCAAAAGTATCAAAATAATCAATATTTTCCTTTTAGATAAAACTTTTTGCAACGAATCTTGCTTTGTATTTATTAATAAAACCATCAGTGTGAAATTATCTTTTGAAAATTCATTTGCATCCAATAGTTTTTTTTCTTCTGGTGGTAAATCAACTAGAGTCCACATATGATTTTTAGTAATTGAATCTATTTCAATTTTATAACTTCCTTCCAAAAACATGATTCAGAAGTATAAATTACTTCAGAAAAGCTTAAGGATCATTATCGATTAAATAAGTGTAAAAATCATTTCCAAAGGATGTTAGTTTCTTTTGTCTATTACTCCTTCTCAAATCCTCATATTCATCCTCATTAAGATTATCATTATGATTAGTATTATGATCAGCAAGTCCAAGACATGAATCATCCGCAACATCATGAGAAATATAACCAAACTTTAAACGAAATATATGTTCAAAAATTAAGCATTCTTAGTCTCTATAATAGTATTAAGATAATGCACATCACTTTTCAAAACAAAAAACCTATAAGCAGCACTATGCTCAACATAACCAATAAACATGAAATCAAAAGACTTGGATCATATTTTCCTTTTCTTAGGATCTGGAAACATCGCCTTAGCAAGACACCCTTACACTTTTAAATATTTCATATTTGGAGAATAACCTTTCCAAAACTCATAGGGTGTCTTACTGGTTTTCTTATGAGGAATTCTGTTTTGTAAAAAACATGCAGATAAAATAGCTTCACCCCACAAATTATTAGGAGCATAAGAACTAACCAACATAGAGTTCATCATATTTTTCAAAGTTCTATTTTTCCTTTCAGCAACTCCATTTGATTCAGGTGAGTAAGGGGGAGTTACCTCACAAATATGTCCAATTCTCAATCTGCTTTTGATCAGCAGAAGAATCTGGTCGCGGATCAGTGAGTGCGGAAGCAACTCCGTGCATGTCTAAAGTGGAGGAAATTCTTTATTGCCACATGCGAAAATGTTGGTCTCTATAGACTTCGATTTTTGAGACGTCAGGAAAGGGTTCTACGTAATGAGGGACTAGAGCAGCACCGAGGGCTGAGGCAGGAATGGAACCAACACAGCCAGGTGTGTTGTTAGGTTGCTCAGCGTTGTCGCGGTTAGGGCTCTCCATCAAAAACAATAAAACTCTCAAGATTGTTGCATATAGAGAGCAAAAACAGCAACAAGTTCAACAACAACGAAGCCACAAAATAAAATAGGAAAAGTAACCGAGCTGATGCGTGAATTAGATTCACCGTCCTTGAGAGTTTTATTAAGGCGTTATCCTAAACACTCCTCAGGATTAAACAACACCTTCTGGTTGCATTAACCAAAAACTCAAGAACTAGCAAGAATCTCAAATATATATTGCTCAGAAACAAATAAGGGAGGAGAAGAAGATAATTTTCTGGTGTATTTTGTATATATCTTCATGAGAAATAAACTAACTATTTATAGAAAAAAATTCGTGAATAACAAGGTGGAGGAAGGAAATAAATTATGGGCGATAAAGTTTAATAACTTGGACAGCAACACAACAAACCATACTGATTTAGTCAAAGTGGACGGTGCAACAATTTGGCCACGTAAAATTTTGGGCCACATTTTTCTCTAAACTTTCACTGGTGGAGGTTGGACTTTGAAATACACTAATTTTCCAACATGCATTTAGGAAGGAATCGATGTAATACTGTCAAAAAATTTCTTTGCAGTCGAATGAAAATAAGAGAAGGCAAGTTAATCGTTAATCCCAATTCGTCTGCCACAAAGATTTACACAATTCCATTAAGAAGATAACTAGAAAAATTAACAAAGGTTTTGACTTTTTTTAGCATATACAATAGTTAAATAAATGGTGACAAGTTGTTTATATGCATATATTTACCATGAAAACAATCAAGAAACCAACTGTATCATATTTGTGAGTTTCGGAAATATATTTTTGGAAACTATTTGAAAATGCATTTTCAGAATAATTTAAGTCATAGAATTGGGGCGTGGTTCAAAATCAAATGAGTTTTGTGTATATTAAATGTGTCCAAAGATGTATCTTTAAAAACGGATGAGCATTTTAGTATTTTTGCGTAGTGTGCAAATAATATATAGAGTGTATTAAGAAATTTCCTTTTAATTTTGATAACAAAATCAAAGAGAATAATCTTACAACATCACTTCCTCACCAAACCCACCACTTTCTCTTAGTCTTCTCTCTAAACACTCATTTTTCTCCTCTCCCTCACATTCAAACTCCCTCACATCCAAACATCATGTTTCATATGTAGCTTCTAGTGGAGTTGAGAGTTCCTGGTAATGTGTCAGTGCTCTCTTTGTCAACCGTTTTAGGTGAGGTTCTCTGCAATGGTGTTTCCCTTTTCTATTATGATAGTTTCTCTGCTGCAGTGGTTTGTTCTTCTCAGGTGGTTTAGCCTTCTACTCCGGCGGTTTTCGGTGACATTAGTTTATTAATGCTCGCTCTAGGCAGATTGGCTACAAATTTCTTCAAATCAGGACTTGTGCTGATTTATTTTTTTCAGTTGAGTCCTCGCCAAATTTTGGTTTGCAGGTGGAGGATGCGGTCGATGGCGGGAGTTGCGCGATGCAACTCGGTTACAGTTGTGTCATCTCCTTCTCCGGCGGGTTTCCTAAAATTGTAATCTAGCGTCAATTTTTGCTGCATCTAAACCTCATCTTCTCTGATGCAAGTTTGTTGACATTTATGATTCTTGAATCTCTGATCGGTTCTAAATCTGTTGAGATTTGCAGAATTTTGTTTGTCTCCACTATGTCAATTTTTTTTTGGATTGTTCAAACAGACGGTGGTTCAATGATTCTAGCTCCGGTTCAAGTTTACTACCTCTATGATTTTAAAATCCACTTCAGGCGATTGTGATTAGTTCAATGATTCTAGCTCCGGTTCAAGTTTACTACCTCTACGATTTTAAAATCCACTTCAGTCGATTGTGATTAATTTCAAACTGTTTAGTCATAAATGACCATGATTACTTACCACAGTCTGTGAGTAACTTGTTGGTAAATGAAATCGTTGTCGTGTTCATTCGCCATTTTCAAAATAATTCGCTATATTGTACACAAGATGTATGAATGTCTGTTTCTAATTCAGAGTTGTTTTAATCTTTTGTTTTATTGGATAAAAAAATAAAATCTAAAAGAATAATCTCATTCTCTAATATTTATGTTTTGTATAAAAAAGTTATTCGAAACTCTCTTAAGAGAACTATGCTATATTAAAATGCATAAAACCACTATAGATGTGTTTGTTTCATAAATTTAAAATTTATTTTCAAAAAGAATGTGTGAGTGAGGTTGGAAATAATATTTTTACAATATTTTCACATTTGTTTTAAGTTTTATCAAATTATACGAGTATCTTTTATTTTTAAGAATATGATTTCCTCATGACTTTGATATTTTTTATTCCCCCGTGTAAAAGAGTGAGAATCTGACATTCTCATGGATATAAAAGATAACCATACATAACCTTCCACTCTAAATATATTTAACTTTTTTTATATACTTTTTTACAAAAATAAATTAAAAATATTGTATAAATATTCCAAGAAACTTCAATTACTTACCAAACACATAGACAAAAATTTGTCTAATAAAATTTGTGGTATTATTGTTTGAGGGAATAATATTGGCATGATTATAAATTTAATCATTTAAACAGACACCCTATGTTGTAATCTTGACATAAACCATGAACAAGCCTCTTTAGGTACCAGAGCATAATAACAACTTTAATTAAGCCTACAACAAAATTTCTAGTCTACATTTGAAACAGATCATATTACTTCAAGCACCATAACAATACCCTAATTCTGTTAACTAAAAATGAAACAGGAAGGACAATGCCCTATTCCTACTTGTTTCTTTTTCTTTCTTTTCCTTTATTCTATCTTCTTCTGTGAGTATCAATATCCTCATTCCTAAGGTTGTCTTTTTTCCAACTTTTTTTCATGCATTCTCAACATTGTCTAGTCCAGCTTTGGTTAAAAGAGTAGAATGAATTTATGAGAATCAACTTTGGTATGAGTTGTTATACTCAAGTGGCTGTTGATTATGACCTGCACACCAAACATGAAACCTTAAAAGTTAGGTAAAGGAGCACAAAATTGACAAGAACCAGAATAGCAAAGATTCATATAATACAATGAAACTTTCCCTGTATGTTTGTGTATGGTTTAGCTTGCCAAAAGCAATTTTAGAGGTGTTTGATTTTGGAATGATATTAACGTGTTTGGTTCTTCTAAAGTAAAATTGATTCTGCCTCTAGATTTGATTCTACTTGAAGCTAAAATTTATAGCTTGAGTTTAAACGTGATTTTTACATTGAAAGCTATTGTTCAACTCAATTTTGCATAAAGTTATCCAACCATAAATCACTTTGCATTCAACTGACTTTTAACCATAGTCGATTTTACAGAATCATTTCACTCAAAATCAATTTTTTTCACCACAGAACCAAACATATGCATTTACTTTTTGTCGGACTCTCTTATGAAATAGTGTTTGTTTCACATATTCATGAATGATGTCGTTAGAAATGCTATTATAACAAGAAAAATTATTCGCATGCGAGTAGCTAATTTCCATAAGGAGAAGTGAAAAAGTTATTGATCAGAATTACCTCCAAAGTCATCATATTATGCAATTATCTTCTTTAAACGGTCAGAGTGTAACGATTTTTCATGTCGTTTCCTGAATAACAAAAAAAAATTACATATATGAGAAACACAAGATGAACGAAACGAAGAAATGCTACCGGTGTTCCCTGCTACCGGTGTTCCCATTATTCCACACGGTGAAATCGGATAAATACCAATATAAAGAAGCTACACATTGAAAGGGACTTACTGGTCATATAATTTAATAAGAGACTGTGGTCTTGAATAACGATGATCCTTTTTTTCGATTTTTAAACCGACTTCACTTCTTGGATCTGTTTGCTCTTCACTTATTCCAGCATTCGGTTTCCCTCTGCTCCTTGATTCGGGTTTCCAATTTGCTTTGATAAGCGATTGACCAAGTAAGATAGCAATGTCTGAAGCCATTGCCTCGGCTCTCTTTGCATATGGAAATTTTTCCTCGTCAAAGTGGTTTGATAACCACAAATATGAAGATAACACTTGATGCCTGCTCTCAAGGTCTAGGAGTTCTGAATCATTTCGTGCCGAAGATTTCGGCATGCCCATAGCTATGTTTACGGGGACCTTCTGAGCAAACGCTGTAGCAAATCTAGCCAAGTGGTACATAGCTTTCGGGTCTCTAACATTAATAGGAGCAAAACAAAAGTTAAATCGATCTTCTAAAGATAACCCTTGAATCCTCTCTAACATATTAGCGATTTTCTTTATATGATCATGTCGACACAAGAAGTACGACCCATCCAAACGGCAGTTTTCGCCAAACTTTTCTAAAAGCTGGCTGAACGTCATGTTAGGAATTTGTCCGGCAAACAATTCCACTTGCTCGTAAAAAGGAAAAAGGCCAACCCTCGTTACATGATCAAAGGGTTGTTTCAAACACTCGATCAAGTAATCCAAATCATCTAAATGTAAGGTAGTGGCAAGTCCATCGGGATAAAGGCATCCTCTTCGACCAGCTCTTCCAGCAATTTGCTTAACCTGTGATGCTGGAACAGGAAGAATTTTGTCACCGTTGTACTTTGAAAGGTTATTAAAAACGACTCTTCTAATGTTAAGGTTCAGGCCCATCCCCACTGCATCACTAGCTACTAGAACATCATATTCATTATTCGGGTCGTTAAACAAATTAGCCTGCTGCCGACGAGTTTCTGGTGGCAAAGCTCCATATATCACACAACATCGGTGGTTAGTGAGTTTCTCAATGGCTAATTTAACTTCAAATATCTCTCTCCTTGAGAACGCAACAACGCAATCGCCAGACTTAATATTTTCAAGATTTCCAAGTAGGGTCTTCGCTTCAACCACCAGCGGTTTGAACCTCTCATAATGTTCCACATGTAACTCATCTCCTGTATCTTGACAGATCTTTCGAACAATATCCAAAACACTAGGATCACCGCATAAATGTATCTCGTCGGCCTTCAACCCAAGGAGCGCCCTAGTCCATGCATACCCTCTACACGGATCTGCCATCATCTGAATCTCATCAACAATAGCCACATCATACAATTCCTGCGTTGAAGCCATTTCCACAGTACACGCAACATGATTTGAAAACGGGAGAAACTTCTTCTCTTGACCGGTTAACATACTGCAATAAACACCCTTAGCATTAACCTTGTCAAACACTTCCATAGCCAACAATCTGAGTGGACTACAATAAATCCCTTTCTTCGCCTCCATAAATCTTTGCAAAGCATTATAAGTTTTACCACTATTGGTAGGCCCGCAGTGATAAATTATCTTCCGTTTCATAGCCCTCGCAAAAGGAAACCAAGTATGCGGTTTCGTGAGGTCTGCCGACTTAACCATTTCCCTAAAACTCTTGATCTCATCGATAAAATTCTCCAAACAAAACTCAACAAATATAGGAAACAAAAACCTCACAGCCTCATCACACGGTCCAAGTGAAATCAAGTACCTCGCAACATCATCCGCACATCTCTTCCTGAAAAAGTTATGAAACTTGTGCGCAGCAGTGGGAAAAAACGACAAACCAATATAAATTGCAAGTGCCTGATTAGAAGCCCAACCTGATTTGGCAAAATAATGAAACACATCTGTTAACACTTCCACCTCAGCTCTAACCAACTTTGCACCCCTTTCCACACTCTTAAGCTCACCATACAATTCAATAGGGTCACGCGATGCCACTTCTGTAAAATCAACCTCACTCTTCTTCTCTAATTCATCATCATCACTACTACTACTACTAAATTCTACAGAATCAACAATCTCTGAATTGAAATCATCATTATCATTATCATCATATGAAACAACCTCATTTTCATAAATATCATCACTAACCTCATTGCCAAGCTTATAATCAATATCTTTAGCCATACCCGCTTCCAATTCTGAATCACCCTCCTCGCCTTCTGTCGAAAAGGGTCTTATGGAGAGGGTTCTACCACTAGAAAGATTCAAACTTTGGGAGAAACTAGGAGCAAAACGAGGGTTTATCAAATGGGTCGAAAATGGGCGAAAAGGGTGATAAAATTGAGAATTTGAAGAATAAACGTGCGTGTGATTGAAGAGAAAAGCTTTGAACTTTGAAAGGGTTTTTCTGTTTCTGGTGCATAAGTAGAAAATTGATGAAATTGGGGCTCTAGCCATTGAAATTGAGGAAGAGGAATGAAGAAGAAAAGGGTTTGTTCAAAAAGGGACAGAAAATTGAATGAGGTTTTTGAAGGAGAATGGTTTAGTGGAATTGAAAATTGAAAATGGGAGAAGGAGAGTGAAGGGAGGGAAATTTGTGCTGGTTAGGGTTAAACCCTTGAAGAATGGTTGATTGTGCTGCCATTGCAAAATCTCCGAAACTTAGGCACAGGGGTAGTTTTGGAAGTTTGCATGAAGAAAGGAAAATTTTATTTAATGAATTTACGTATTAAATTTAAATTATGATTTTTTTAATGAATTTAATTGAAATAAGTGTTAAAAATAGTTTAAGGTTAATAAAAAATATTGAATTTTAAAAAATGTTTGACTTTTATTTTAACTATTTATAAAGTAATGCAAATGGATGATGATGATAAATTGGTCGTGTAAAACTTTTTAGGTTGATAGTGCGTACTAATTAATCAATTTTTTTATTGACGCAAATATATTATTTAAACATGTATTCTCAATATCTCTTTCATGTATTTTTCAAGCGATGGAAATGGAGAGGATCTTAATCTACACTATTGTTAGTACCATCAATAAAGTCATCGACCAAAATTAACGTGACTAGTTAACGAGATGAAAATAAATGTTTCTCTAAATATAAGCTTTTACGAGATAATAAAGTTGCAACACAATGAAATTCACACTGATTTGGTTCAATAAAGCTTCCTTGATAGAAAACATGAAAAATGAAGCAATTTGTTACCACAAGTAGAGGCAGTAAACGAGGATGTCCATTTTGTTTAAGTCTACCCCGTAAAAGTTTGCAAAAGATGGGGCAGGACGGGGCAGACATAGTTAAGTGCGCGAGTCTAAAACTTTAGCCCACTCCGCACAAAAATACGGGTGGGGTAGTCCGAGCCTGTTGACAATGCACCTTTTAGGCTTTAAAATATATAAAATTATGTTAATGTCAATGCCTGCAAAAAAATAAGATGAGGCGGGGCAAACACATTAGAGGGTGAGGGGCTAAATCCTTGGTCCACCACGCGTAAAATGCGGGAAAAACGAACATGCTCAACGGATCGAATCCGTTTTGCCACCCCTAATCACAAGTGCACATCGATGATATTACCTTTAGAGAATTATGAGAGCTTTGATGGGAGCCTTTAGGCATTAAACTTTTGGCTAAAGGTTTTGGCTACAAGCCCGTGAAGCTCAACATTGCACTTATGTGAAATTTTATTGAAAATTTTGATCTTAAGGGCACTGATAGGGACTTTTATAAGATGAATTTTAACACGGCTGAAGGTAAATATAATGTTATTGGACATGAATGATTTTTTATCACTACCTTGCTATATAGTTGAATGAAGTCCAAAGTTTGTGTCATCCACTGCTATGATAAAGTGTTTTATTAACATTAGCTTCTTCTGTTGACACCCATATTAGAGTGGATCAACAAACATTTTGTGTAGAAAGAGAAATGTTTGCACGTGTTTTTGTCAAAATATATCTTAGTCAAATGGTATGGAGAAATTTTACTTACATATGATACCTAGTATAAATGGCTATGAAAATAATTGTTGGTGTGCTTAACATGACGACACAATAGATAACAAAGAGAAAGTTGACAAGGTTAGGGTAAAACAAAATAAGGGAAAGGCAATTGATTTACAATTTGGATCTACAATTTTGTAAAACTAACACATGGTGATTCGTTGGTCATTAAAGGTATTGTGAGAAATAATAGGAAAGAAATGAATGTTAAAATACTCCTAAAAAAACAAATTATTTCCTTTGACAATAAATAAAGATATCAATTGACTTTTTCACGCGAGGAACACTAAATCAAATGGAGAACACATCAAACAATAAAGAGGCAAAGAAGTAAATAGATCTAATGTAGGCTATGAAGAAACAAGTCGCTATTATGAAAAATATTGATCCCATTAAACATATTGTAAATGAACATATGCTAAAGGCTGCCCAAATACGTGACAAAAGGAATAATATATTAACTCGCAAAAAATAGAATGAAGAATGAATGGTCACAAGAAGGTTTATATATATTGAATAAGTAAAAAGTGAATCATCCTTTCCAACCCTATGGATTGAGATACTTATAGGCCTAACTCATGGGTTAAACTGTTGAGTGTAAAGCCATTTTCATCACAACTACTTGATTAGAGCAGGGGAGTATGAAGACCAATTTTTCCTATTAGTAGGAATTAACTGTTTCTTTTATAGGAAAGTGGTAACCATCAGTCCTTTTAAAAACATGTGATGTGACACTAATTAATGTAGTTATCACTTGTTGGACACAAATTTAGATCGGGTGACCCATGTCCTGTGTTTGATGGGTCGGATCAGGCCACCATGCTCTCTAAATTTTGAAAACATTCAATCAATAATTCAAGCTATTTATACATTTTAATGTCTTTACCCTTACTTTATTATTTATGCTTTTCTTAAGCTTGTAGTTTAAATTCTCACATTCATAGGCTCTTTAGAATAGTTAGGAAGTTCATAATTAAGTGACAAAGTTTCCTTCTAAACAGAATCACTTGATAAAAAAAAATCATTATTGAGAACTATAAGTCAATATTTAATTATTTACATAATTCGACAACTCACTCTTCTTCTTTAACATAGTCATTTAAGAGTCTTCGTAGATAAAGATTTTCACCGGTTGATAGGGCTGGAAATGAGTCGAGTCGAGTCGAACCTGTCTTAGCTCGACTCGACTCGATAAGAATATGTTCAGCTCGAAACTCGACTCGAGTTCGACACGAACTTTATTTTAAGCTCAAACTCGACTCGTTTAAAGTTCACGAACAACTCGATTAAGCTCGTTAGGTTCATCTCATTAAGTTCAGCTCGTATGGTTCACGAACTTCAAAGTCATTTTTTAAAATCTATTTTTTTTATATTTGACATTTTAAATTAATACTGAATTAATATAAAATTTATCAAATTAAAATTTAACTTTGTCTCCAAAGATCTACAACATAAAAAACTACCAAATACCAATCTTCAAGAGATACATTTGAAACTCTAATTCAAAAATTACTCAATTAGAATTTAATTTTGTCTTACAATTTTATCTAAATAATTAGGAACCTTACAACTTTTAATAAAATATTATAACAAAAACTACTAAAAATTAATACATTCTCATCATAGAATGATTACAATTTACACCCTTTCAACCTTCATTAACAAATGTTATTGTGAGAGCTTTGCTGCTATAGTTACTACATAAGAGACAACCTGCAAAATGCAAGATGTTATTTTTCTAACCAATTAAATTCATATATTAAAACACTTACATAAAATTATCATGTCTTGTTATGCTATGTACCACCATAATTTTCATCATCGGTATATAACAAAATACATTATGATAAAGATATATATTAAATACATTATGATAAACATATATATTCACTTTTGTAGAGATCACTTTTTTCATCATCAATATATAACAAAATACATTATTATAAACATATATATTAAATTTTGAAAGACATGTCATTTGCAAAACAAAACATTCAAAAAATAACTTGGAAGCTTAATCACCTAATTTAGAGTAATTATAACTTCAGCAGCATAAAAAAATTTAGTGTGCTTATTCTTTTGAATTTGTATTATGAAAGAAGTAAAAAAGAACAGTAACTGTTATTGAGCATACTACTCATGATGAAATTAAAACCAAGTCCATTAAAGAATAAGAAAGATAAAAAAAAATGTACCTATTTATCATCATGGGAGTAATGTAATTTCTGTTTGCACTTGCTCCACCTATTAATAAAAAGAAGAAGTTAGTTTTAACAAATTATCATGTTATTTTTTAAAGTTGATATTATACTTAATAATCAAAAGATAAGATAGCATATCACCTTAGGTTTGTTTCTAATTCCATGCAATATTCGAAGCCAATCACCACCACAAATCAAAGCTTCGACAGTAGATGAATGTAAAGAAGCTCGAAATGAATCAATAACTCTCCCTCCGGCGCTAAAGGTTGACTCCGAAGCCACAGTAGATATTGGAATGGCAAGAACATCTGCTGCCATACGGGACAACACTCTATATTTTCCACTATTCAATTTCCACCATTCCAAGGCACAAAATGACATATGCCCATTATCTTTAGGTTTGTAAGTTGGCTCGTTCAAATACTCTTCAATTTCAGATTTTATAGCAGGAATTGCTTGTTGTTCTTCGACATAATTCATTAACAATGACCACCCTGAGGATTTTTGTGGCTCCAAAATAAGTCCATTTTGATCAACATTGGTTCTACTAAATCCTTCTTCACCATGCTCACTGAGTAGATCGGCATACTCTTTGTACATATCATCAAGAGCAATACGCACATTTTCTATATTTTTTCTTGCTTCATCTTCCGCATAAATTAAAGGAAAACACATGTTAACACCCATCATTTTGATCCTAGGATCCAAAACAGAAGCAAGCGACATGACAAGATTACATTGACTCCAATATTTATCAAATTTTTCCTTCATAGCTTTTGTCATTTCTTTCATAAAATCAGATTCATCTTGGATACCATGATCTAAAACTAGCTTAATTCGAAACACCTCAGCAAGATATAAGTTAGCAGTTGGATATTCACTACCAGAAATAATATTTGTAACAACATTAAATACCTCTAGCAACTTGCAAACTTTTTCAACCTTTTCCCAATCATCATCATCTGGAAGAGTTTTATAGCTTGATTCTCGATCTTGAAATCGAGGGAAGACTTCTTTGAACTGCATTGCAACTGACAACATTTGATAGGTGGAGTTCCAACGAGTAGGGCAATCAAGAATTAATTTTTTACCACCAAGCTTTAGTTGTTGAACTATTTGTGAGAATGTTTGCAACCTTGTTTCAGACTGATTGATGAACTTTACACTTTCACGCACGTTTTCAACTATTTTTGCTATTTTCCCAATACCATCTTGAACAAGCAAGTTAAGTATATGCGCACAACATCGCACATGAAATAACTTTCCATCTAGCACTAATTTTCGGTGCCTTAAAATCAGAACTTTTAATTCTTTCAAACATCTGTCATTGTAGTGAGCATTATCCACTGACACGCTAAATATTTTATTTTCAATGCCCCAATCTTTAAGACATTTGAAGATTGCATCAGCGATATCAACACCACGCCGAGGAGGAGGAACATGAACAAAACTAAGAATGCGTTTCTGCAAAACCCAATCAGCATCTATGAAATGACCAGTTAACACCATGTACTCTATCTTCTGATTTTGTGACTTCCATAAATCTGTGGTCAAGCAAATCTTATTTACCATCCTCAAAGTAGACTTTAACTTTTTTCTTTCAGCTTCATAAACAGCAATACAATCATTCTTCAATGTTTTCCGACTAATTTTCTCATATGAAATATTAGAACATTTCATCATAAAAAGAAAACCTTCTTCCTCAACAATACTAAATGCATGTTCGTGCATCATAATCCAATGTGCAGTGGCTTCACGTTGTCTTTCATGGTCATATTTAGCCCCTGAATTCATAAGTAGTGGCCCCTTGTAAACATGACATATATCTTTTAAATGCCTCATCAAATGACTGGTTGATCCACTAGAAACAACAGCATAATTCTTTTTACAGTGTATACATTGCCATTTTTTCCCATTCTTTAATTCCACTTTTTTGAAGTGATCCCAAACTAGAGAAGTTTTCTTCCTCTTGGACTTTTGAATAACAATGTCACTGCTCTCAACATTTTCTTCATTCACAACTTCATTTGCTGGTGTTGATTCATTTGTTAGTGGTTCTTCATTTGTATTTGCATCTAAATCAATAACAGGATTCAATGCATTTAAGTATTCTTCTCCAACTTCTGGTGGTGAACCTCCTGATGATTCAAGTGAGGTACTATATGACATCTCTGTAATAGAAAAAAAATAAAGTTACAAGTTCCATTAAAAAAAATCATTAAAATTTTCAAACAGAATACAATAAAAAAAACCACAACAAAGTTATTTATTTAGTCCATTCCAAGAAGAAATAATTCAGGAAGAACAGATACATAACAAAGTAAAAAAAATAAAATTCTTATAACAGAGTTATAGTTTATTCTAAGAAGAAAAAAATAATCAAATGATAATGAGGAAATATTATTTACCTCTATTGACAAATATTGTTGAATCTGGATGACAGATAATGTAGAGATGAAAACTAGAAAAGAGACTAAAAGTTGTTTTTCTTCATAATAGAGAACAAACCCTGAAGAGAAGGAACGATGAATAAAATTCTCTTAAACCTAAAAAGAAGATGGAAGGTTTTGTTTTTTGGTAAATGCAATCCTAAAAAAAATTTAGAAGTATTTTTTTAAATATTTAATTTGATAAGTTAAAAGGTTAAAATCTATGTGTTTATAATTTTTTTTAAATGATACAAATTACAATTAAGATATATAAATTTAAAACATTATATATAAAAAATCTATGTATTAATTTTTTTAAATGATACTATTAAGATATATAATTTAAAACATTATATGTATATATATAAAATGAATGAAATTCTCTTAAACCTAAAAAGGAGATTAAAGGTTTTGTTTTTGGTAAATGCAATCCTAATAAATGTGCTTATTTAAAATCTTAAAAATAGTTAATAATAATAAAGTAAAAAAAGAATACAAAAAGATATAAATTAAAAGATATGATAAATGCTGTAATATTTAAAAATTGTTATTTTAAAGATTTTTAAAAGTCATGTGTATATGTTTCTTTTTATAAGATAGAAGATTTTTTTTGGGTAAAAAAAAAGTTAAAAGTATTTTTTTAAATATTTAATTTGATAAGTTAAAAGGTTAAAATCTATGCATTAATTTTTTTAAATGATACTATTAAGATATATAATTTAAAACATTATATATATAAAATGAATGAAATTCTCTTAAACCTAAAAAGGAGATTAAAGGTTTTGTTTTTGGTAAATGCAATCCTAATAAATGTGCTTATTTAAAATCTTAAAAATAGTTAATAATAATAAAGTAAAAAAAGAATACAAAAGGATATAAATTAAAAGATATGATAAATGCTGTAATATTTAAAAATTGTTATTTTAAAGATTTTTAAAAGTCATGTGTATATGTTTCTTTTTATAAGATAGAAGAATTTTTTTGGATAAAAAAAAAGTTAAAAGTATTTTTTTAAATATTTAATTTGATAAGTTAAAAGGTTAAAATTTATGCATTAATTTTTTTAAATGATACTATTAAGATATATAATTTAAAACATTATATATATATAAAATGAATGAAATTCTCTTAAACCTAAAAAGAAGATTAAATGTTTTGTTTTTGGTAAATGCAATCCTAATAAATGTGCTTATTTAAAATTTTAAAAATAGTTAATAATAATAAAGTCAAAAAAGAATACAAAAGGATATAAATTAAAAGATATGATAAATGCTATATTATTTAAAAAATGTTATTTTAAAGAGTTTTAAAAGTCACCTATATATGTTTCTTTTTATAAATTAGAAGAATTTTTTTGGGTAAAAAAAAGTTAGAAATATTTTTTTTATATATTTAATTTGATAAGTTAAAAGATTAAAATCTATAAATTAATTTTTTTAAATGATACTATTAAGATATATAACTTTTATATATATATATATATATATATATATATATATATATATATATATATATATATATATATATATATATATATATATATATATATATATATATATATATATATATATATATATATATATATATATATATATATATATATATATGTGTGTGTGTGTGAAATTCTCTTACACCTAAAAAGGAGTTTAAAGGTTTTGTTTTTAGTAAATGCAACCCTTATTTAAAATCTTAAAAATAGTTAATAATAATAATAAAGTAAAAAAAGAATACAAAATAATATAGATTAAAAGATATGGTAAATGTTATAATATTAAAAAAATGTTATTTTAAAGAGTTTTAAAATTCACGTGTACATGTTTCTTTTTATAAGTTAGAAAAAAAAATTTAGGTAAAAAAAGGTTAAAACTATTTTTTTAAATATTTTATTTGATAAGTTAAAAGGTTAAAATATATGCATTAATTTAAATGATACTATTAAAATATATAATTTAAAAACATTATATATATATATATATATATATATATATATATATATATATATATATATATATATATATATATATATATATATATATATATATATATATATATATATATATATATATATTAATAACAATCGAGTTGACTCATGAACCTAACGAGTCGAACTATACATAGTTCAAGTTCAGCTCATTTAATTAACGAACTTAATTTTTGGCTCATATTCAGCTCATTTGGTTCATGAACCAAATTCAACGATCTAGTTATCGAATCGAACTTCGAACTATGTTCGAGTTGGTTTGGTTCATTGCCAGCCCTACCGGTTGATAAAAAAATGAATTAGAGTTTCGTAGATAAAGATTTTCACCGGTTGATAAAAAAATGAATTAGAGTTTTGTGCATCAATTTAATGCTTCTAAGAATTTCTAATAAGATATACCATGCCCTAAATGTGGGCTTATATCACATCACGTGTTTCAAAAAAAAAACATAATGGTAATTAATTAACAAAGTATGAACACCTACCTACTCCTCTGTGCCATTTGACATCTTAGATGAATCATGTGAAAATGTCTTTAACATTTTTTATTTATTTTAACTTTTACAATTTATTTTTAAATCATCGTTGGTGTATTATATTTTTAGTATTTATTATTTTAATTTTAATTTATATTAAATTTATATATATTATAATTTATTCATAGTAAAATTGATTAACATAATATTTGACTTTAGTAGTTTAAAATAAGTATAAATAAAATAGACATTACAATTACAAGCTTTGATATGAATAAATTTGTTAATACTCAACCAAAAAAAATCTAACTCAAACTAAAACACCATAACTAATTTTCACAAGCATACATAGCCACCCTTATCTCTCTTTGTCTCCCTCCTCAAATTCAATTTCCCCAATTTTTCATCAATTTAAAAAAAAGAAAAAATCATTTTCAGAGAGAGAAAAAAAAATGCAAGTATCAGCATGCAATTTGTGGTGCATGTCAATGCCAACACAGAGAATCACCGCTCTCAGTCGCCGTGAAATTTGCATATCCTCCTCTCTTTGCTCCAACTCCCCAAACGACGCCGTTCCTCCCCAATCCATTCCCATTTCAAGGTACCACTACTCTAATAATCATCTCCAATTAATCGCTTATAGCATAATCGATTTTATCATAAAATTGAGTTTAAGTATAAGCTACGAGTTGTAACTGTAACTGTTGTTGATGTGTGTTTATAGGATAGTTCAAGATCAATCTCAGGATTCTGATGCTATGCTGAAAAGGACTTTTGTGTCACCAACGAGACGCGTGTTAATGGCGAGTTTGTCTTTGTATTCTTGTTTCTGTTCTTCAAGGTACTTCTCAGGTCCGCACGGTTCTGTTTTCATGTTTCAGTTGTTCTGATTGTGTATATAAACAGCTTTTAATTGAGCTTAATTTCATAGCTTATTGGAACATATGATATATGATATAACTTATAAGCACTTTTGTAATTGTTTGAAATAGTTTTAATATATAAGAGACTAATTTGACACTTTTTTATGCATAAGAGACTAAATTGATGTAAAAGTGTAATGGTCCTAGCGTATGTTTGGTTCTGCGGTGAAAAAATTGATTCTGAGTGAATTGATTTTGTAAAATTGATTTTGGTTAAAAGTAACTTGAATGTAAAGTGATTTATGTTTGGGTTACTTTATTCAATATTGAGTTGAATAGTAAATTTAATGTAAAAATCACGTTTAAACTTAAAAACTACAAATTCTAGCTTCAAGTAAAATCAATTTTGAAGGCATAATATATTCTACTTTAGAAGAATCATACACCTCTTGAATTATTTTTGGCTTTCCAATAGCTAAACCAAACATACACGTAATGTTTTAATAGTTAAAGGGCAAATATGAAGATAATGTTTTGAAACTTTAAATTAAGTTAAGAAACTTCTAAAGTGATTTTTCTTATAGTTTATGATCTGTCCATAAGCTATTCTTAACTTATTTTGATAAATTATAAAACACCTCATATAGAACTTATGCAGAGTTTACCCTTATTTCTTTTTCGAAAATGCAGAAGTGATTTGTAGATAATACTTGTATGTTAAATGTATCATTAAGTTGTTTATCCAAACACTCCTTTAGATTCATTTAATGAAAAAAGCACTTATATTTGTATATAGATAAATTTATAAAAGCAAGTAAGTCACGATGAAATGTTCATTTCAACTTACTTCAATACGCTTCTCATTCATGTAATAGTCTATTGAATTTGTGCTTAATCGATTTGTTAATCCCATAACAAACTCTAAGTATATTGGGAAGTTCATTTTAAACTTCAATTTGAAGGGTCAATGTCATATAATTCGATAAATGCTAATGACATGGATCATTTCCAGTTTGGTCAATAGTATTATTTATGACATAAATTGCAAAAGTGAAATTGGTAGAGTAATAGAATTTTTGTTTTGGACCTAATTTTCTATGCTTTTTCATGAAATAAATTGTAAATGTACAGCGCTAGCATTGGGAGATACATCGGTAACACTTGAAGAAGTGACCCCTCCTGTGTTTTCTTCTGGTCCACTCTTTCCTGCCGAGGTAACCTTTCAAATCTAGCCTCCCATCTTGTCCTTTGTGCATGTATAACACTTTTGAAAATCCTTCAATAGCAATATTCCTGCAAAACACTGACACGTCGACACTGGTAATAATTTGAAAAAATGAGTAAATTGATTGTAATCACAAGTGTTTGTGTCGACACAGACACAAACACACCTTTTTTTAGAGGTGTTGGCGCTACAGAGGTTACAATATATGCAAGTGGTATCTTGATTAATCAATAAGAACCCCTAGTGTGCATCTATTTTCAGCATGAATCTCATCTTGAATTTCAATTTAATGTGCTGAATCCCGGTTCACTATGATGAATCTCGATTCATTCTAATAAATCACTTTCTAAAGTTAGGGTAGCCAACCATGTCAACTTGGTATAGTCAGTTATTTTTCTTTTACCACTTAATTTAGTTTACAACTTGAATTACTTTGATGTTTGTATATAATATATCTGCTTATAATTTTACTTTGTCATTTTTTTTACTTAAAAATATCATATTTTCATTGGTAATATATCTTATGGTGCATAATAAGATTTGAGTGATAGTTCAGAAAATAGGTCTTTTTGTTCATGATTTGAGTCTCGATTTGATAACCACGAACCCCACACTTCATAATTTGCAGGACCGAATTGTTCAACTATTTGAAACCAACACATATTCTGTTGTTAACATCTTTGACGTGACATTGCGTCCTCAACTTAATGTGACTGGTGTAGTTGAGGTAAAATAGCATTCAATTAATACCAATATGTGATTATCTATTTTATCGATCATCATTATATTATCTCTAGTGTACAAGAATGATATTTGGTAGGAATCGGACAATATAGTCACATTTTTTTATTCATTTCACACCGGCAGATTCCTGAAGGAAATGGCTCTGGAGTAGTTTGGGATAAAGAGGGACACATTGTGACAAATTATCATGGTGAGAATCAGTTTGGAAACTACAGTTCTATGTGAAGATTTTAAGATCATATGAGGATTTATGATTGTAATATTCTTGTATTGCTCAGTGATCGGCAATGCCCTTTCGAGAAATCCAAGCCCTGGTGAGGTTGTTGCGCGAATCAATATTCTAGCCTCGGAAGGGTGAGGCTCAAGGAGACTTTATTTCTTTGCAAATTCTGCTGTTTGAAACTTAATAACCAACATATGTATTTCTGACACTTTCCTTTATAAAGAGTACAAAAGAATTTTGAAGGTATACTCATCGGAGCTGACCGTTTAAAGGATCTAGCTGTCTTGAAGGTATCTTTTCTTTTCTATCTTGCGCAAAATTATGAATGCGGTATCATGTGAAGTGCTCTTATTTGCATGTTAAGACCTTGATTGTGCAAGTATCTTAACAAGATGAGATATTGATTAATAACTTCACATATACAGGTAGAAGCTCCTAAAGATATTTTAAAGCCTATCATGGTGGGGGAGTCGTCGTTTTTAAAAGTCGGGCAACAATGTTTGGCCATTGGGAATCCATTTGGCTTTGATCACACCCTCACGGTCGGGGTTATCAGTGGTCTTGATCGAGACATCTTTAGTAAAACTGGTGTAACAATTGGTGGTGGTATTCAAACTGATGCAGCTATAAATCCCGGAAACAGGTTATATGAAGCTCCATTTGATATCTGAACTAGCAATACTTTTCTTTACCAACTTTATCCCTTGAGTTTTGTGCACTTTACTTGGGCTCTGTTTGGATAAACAGCCTAATTAAGTGTTTATAGCATAAACATTTATCATATAAGTGCTTATGTATAAGCTATTTCTATTACAAAAGCTAAAATGAAGTCAAATGTTTTTAAATAAACTATAAGTTATTTTCGATAAGCTCTCCTAAACAGTCTCACAATTGCTTATGCTAGTGGATAAACTTAGATAAAACTATTGCTCTTTGATGATTGATTTTAACTAGCGCTTTCATCTATCACAATGTATTTATTACTTTTCCTGTGACTCTAATAGTGGAGGTCCGCTTCTAAATTCGAAAGGAAGCTTAATCGGGATCAATGCTGCAATATTTACTCAGACAGGTAAGTTTCTTCATCATAGTTATCATCACAATCACAAGCTGAACTATGTTACACAACAGTGTTGTTTGTCTTAATATGACAGCTGAGGAAATATTTTTGGTCCATTTGCAAATAATTTAACCACTTTTCAATTCATTTCATTGTTGGTCTGCTCTTGTTTGCATGTGGAAGTGACTGCATAATCTAAAGTTATAGTTGCTGTTAGGCAATGTTTGGATAAGCATTGTAATTAAGCGCTCATAACATAAGCCCTTATCATATAATGATAAGTGTTTATGTTTAAGCTATTTCTATAACAAATGATAAAATAAAGTTAAACTGTTTTCATTTGATTTCTAAGTTAAATCTTGGAGAACTCATGCATAAGCTGAAAACAACCTATAAATATATAAGTTGCTTTTATAAGTTCATCTAAATAGTCTCGCAAGTGCTAATCCTAGCAAATAAGCTCAAATAAAACAATCCAACCATGCCGTATGCCTCACTATTATTTCCATTTTTCCTTGCATTGCAGGAACTTCAGCTGGTGTAGGATTTGCCATTCCATCCTCAACCGTGCGTCGAATCGTTCCTCAGTTGATTCAGTTTGGAAAAGTAAGTAGTTAATTGGGATACACACATGCACACATTGTCTATAGCAACATATTTTGTAACTTTCAAGATATATACACCCTTATGTTTGAGTTCACGATTCATCAATTTAAGGTTGCTAGAGCTGGTTTGAATGTGGATATTGCTCCAGACTTGATTGCGAATCAACTTAATGTTCGAAATGGAGCTCTTATTCTTCAGGTAAATCCATGAAATTTGTTTCTTGTACCACAATCAATCAAACTTTGTATTTATAGTTTCTTCCAAATAATTCTTTAACTCTTTACAAAACTTATTTTCCTTAGGTTCCGAAAAACAGTCTCGCCGCCAAAGTGGGGCTAAATCCCACTACAAGGGGCTTTGCTGGTAATATTGTCCTTGGAGATATCATCATTGCAGTTGACAATAAACCTGTGAGCCTTCTTTTTCAGAATCCCTTTGTTAACAGTTTTAGTCCTTGTTTAAATAAACAACTTGATTAAACATTTATAGCATCAGCGTTAATCAAAAAGATAAAATAAAGTTAAATCATTTTCAAATATAAGTTATAAGCAATTTTCATAAGCTATCTAGAAAGTTTACTAAAGTTATCTGAAAACAGCTTACGGACACGTCTTAAGTTGTTTTTCATAAATTCTATCAAACAATCTGACAGACACTTATGCTAGTAGATAATCTCAAATGAGTCAATCCATACAGTTGATTCCATAAATTCTATCAAACAATCTGACAAACGCTTGTGCTAGTAGATAATCTCAAATGAACCAATCCATACAGACTAGACTCGTCAAAAAGCCGAAACGTGCATTTCATATTACTAACTTTTATTTGACCTTTCTTATGCCATTGTTCTATGTAAATTACAAATACTAATCCTATACACACTACACTATCATTTTAAGTAGAAGAGATTTTCATTAAATTTGAAAACTTTGATGCATCCTTAGGTGAAGAGCAAAGCAGAGTTGTTGAAAGTATTGGATGAATATAATGTAGGAGATAAAGTAATGTTTCTAATTCAAAGGGGTGATGAAAAGATGGAGCTCCCTCTAGTACTTGAGGAACAAAGTTCTTGAGAAATCTATATGCATTAAGACATATTGTAATTTGTAATGGATTAGTTGTTTAATTACAATGCATTTTTGGTAAATGTTTTTATTTGTTCATTTTAAAGATAATTTAATCTTATTTTTGGGCCAAAAAAACTTAGTTAGGATCCTCTTCGTAGAAAACTTCATTAGAAACTCCTTGGATACATTTGAAAATAGATAGACACTTAAAAGTTTTAAAATAATTAATATTTGTTTCATTTTCATTTCGACTAATAAACATAAAAGAGTATAAATTTAATATTTTTCACACCATTTGTATTTACAATTTTTGAAAATAGATATAGTATTTTCACAAATTTTGGAGATGTCAAAACTTTAATATAATTGTGCCTTAAAAAAGCATTTTTCTTAATTTTACACGAGTCATCTATCTCCGTGTTAAGAATTAAAAAAAAAAACCTTCGTTGTGATGGTTAGTGAGCATATGATATGGACTCTTGTTTATTTTTCTATTTTTTTTTAATATTTAATAAATGATTTTTTTATAAATTTTATTTTAAATACTAGAAGTTTCTTTAAACTCATTATTTATACATTAAAATAATTTTTTTGACATTCAATAATATAAATATATAACTTAATTAGTCCCAATGTTGAATTTATTTTTAAAGTAGCAATGTTATATAATTTAATTACCAAATAAAACAAGCTTTCAAAAAAATTACCAAAATGACAAACTTTGAAACTCATCCAGTAAGCATTCGCCATGGTTTGGCGAATTAGTTAAAATGTTGTTTCAAGGCATTCGCCAAATGGAATGGCGAATTAGGCCATTTGAGAATTGATCAATGTGTTGTCGCCACATGAATTGGCGATGTGGCTAATTTATAGGGTTTCCAATTTTTTTTGTTTTTCTTGTTTTTTTTATCATATATTTAAAGTTTAAAAAATTTATTTGTTTTTTGATTTTAATATCATTATTATTAGTAACTATAAAATATATTAATTTATAATATAAATAATATTAATATAATTAAAATATTATTATTAGTAACTATAAAATATATTAATTTATAATATAAATAATGATTGAATCGAAGGATAAATTTTTTTTTAATAATTAATTTAAGATTTATTGAGTCTTCTTCTCATTCACCACAACTTACTCATGAAACTGATCACACAATGTCATCGATGAATCATACGAAGACCGAAATTTAATTTGTATTTTTTTTCTTGTTGACTTGGTTGTAAGTTAGATTGTTTATTTTTTTTAATTTAGTTGGACAAATAATTATTACTAACTTGGTCGTGAGAGTCATTTTTAATAACGTGACTCTAGCAATATTTGTTAGTAACTTTATAACCGTTTTTAGTAATTGGTTGTTTTATGTAATTGAATTTATCTTATTTAAATTTAAAAAAATTTAAATTAAATTTTAATTTTTAAATTTTGGTTATTTTAATATTTAAAATTTATAATGTTTTAAAATTTTATTTAAACTATAAAATTATTGATTATGTACTTGAAAAACATTATAAGTTTTCATTTTTGTTTTATTTTAAATTTATTATTAAAATAACTATAACATAAATTTAATATTTTTATATTTAAAAATTTATTAAAACTAAAATTTGTGATTTATCTGTGGTTATTTTATGCGGATTTATTTGAGGATCTTTTTGCCAAATATATTACTCATAATGGTTTTAGTTGGTAATCAAAAAGTCAGAAAAACCATTTTATGCAAAGATTTAGTTAAAATATAGAAAAGGTTGTCCTAATGATTTTGACTATCTATTTTGATTGTATTCTTAAATTATTTTAATAGACTTCAGTTTCTAGTTTTTGTTAAAATATTGTACTTTTAAAGTAAGGGATGTGTTTCATAAAAAAAAAGAAAAAGATGTTACTTATTATTTTCTATATATTAGACTTATTAATATAATGTAAATAATATGCTAATATTAATATTTTTAGTATTTTCTAAACAAATTATCAAGTGTGTTACAATGACATTATAACATTTAAAATTTAAATAATCGTGAAATTCACATCATACTATTAACAATTTAAAAATTGAGCATTTATAAATTTCAATCCACAAAAATGATAGAGTTATTTAGAGAATCAAAAGTGTTCCGGTATGGGCCCAACCTCGGCAGACCTAATACCGCGTACGACCCAACAAGCGAATCGGGCACGCCGGGCACGTGCATCCCTCAAGACGAGCAGGGCAGGCCGCCGAACACAAGCAACGTCCCATCAATCTTTCATCATCCACCACACCAGACGAGCGGAACCGTCCCCGGCTCACCAAAGCGCGGCCATGGTCCCTCCCCTCCGCGGGGAGAACAACGCGCTCCGTAGTATCTCGCGAGCTCCCCTCCGCGGGGAGAACAACGTGTCCGGCGCACGTTCTCCACGTGCTCCCCTCCGCGGGGACACGTCACCGGCCAACTGCCCACCTCCGGAAGAGCAGGTCAAACCCACTTTCCAGAGATCTAGGAGCGGTTGAACTAGGGCGAAGACCACGTCCTGGTCTTCACTACGCCACGTAAGCCCTAGCAGTCAATAGGGTTGGGCCTGGTCATCCAGCCCACCTCAAATGACCGTTGGCCCAACGCTGGGGTCTCTCTATAAATACCCTCTTCCTCAAGAGGGTCAGGTAACTCTTCTTGCCCCTTTTCTGTACTATTGCTTCCACTCTGCCCAACTTCTTACTTTGGCATCAGAGTGTCTTGCAGGTACACCCCCTTCTCCTCCTCATCACCGGCGAACAGGTAGCAGCCCAACAGAGTGTGGCCAGTCTATGATCCCCTTTTGATCAGGTCAGATCAGTGGCGCCGTCTGTGGGAAACTGAAACTTCCCCGTTACTCCGAGCAGAAAACCAAAAGTTTCGCCAAACCTCCGCGATCATGGCTAGTCCACACCGCGACGACACTCCGCACGACCTTGCGCCCAACGTCGCCACCAACGGGAAGCAGATAGGAACGACACGTCCGACGGAAACCGACGGGCAAACTGCTTCACCATCATCCGCGGAACGGCCCCTCCAGGCCGATCACCGCCCCCCGAGCCCGCCAGCATTCCACCCCGTTCCCATCCCGGCGGGAGCAGATCCGACGGTGGCCACTCTCTTTACGGCCATCAACCAGACGAACCAGCTGCTGTTCCAACAAAATGCGAGAATTGGAGCATTAGAGCGCATCGTCCCTCCGAGGTACCCCCAGCGGGAAGATCAGAACGGAGGTTCAAGGAGTCCCTCACCTCGACCCAGAAACCGCCGACCGCGGCTGGAGAGACACCGCCCGCAGGCAACACGAGAACGCACCAGATCCCCGGCGAGACACGTTCGCGGGAGGAACCAGAACGCCGCGGCGACCCCAACCGAGGACCCCCGAGGCGAGAACTCAGGCAGGAGATCGAGAACTCGAAACCAGGGGCACACCTTGAACGACTCATCTTCCCACAGATCCCCGGCGCAGAGCGACGAGGATGATTACCGCACCCCGCTATCCCGGGAGATCATGGCTGCCCCCATACCCCAGGGGATGGAGAAACCACCGACGCTGTCGACATACGACGGCACCTCCGACCCAGACGATCACCTGGAAGACATCGAGGCTATGCTCGACTACCGAAACGTCCGGGGAGCTATCAAGTGCAGACTCTTCCCGACGACTCTGAGGAAAGGCGCTATGACCTGGTACAAAAGTCTGGAGCCCGAATCAGTTACGTCGTGGAGGGTCTTGAAGGACTTGTTCTCCAAACACTTTACGACGTCACCCGAAGACGGAAGCAGTCCTCGGGGCAATCATCCAAGGCCCCGACGAACCTCTCCGAAAATACATCGAAAGGTTTACTCGGGAAGCCGTGCAGGTGACAACTTCCGACGAAATGAAACGCTACTTAATGGAACAAGGCCTGCGCCACGACTCCAAATTCTACGAGGCCGTAGGCATACACCGACCCACGTCCCTCCAAGATTTCCTCGACAGAGCCGCGCATTACATCTGATTCGAGGAAACACAAGCGGCCAACTCCGCTCGCGATACTCGAGACAGAGAGGCCCCCCGCGGGCACCGAGACGACGGAGCTTCGAGCCATCGACGAGGAGGAGACCGTCGTCGGGAAGACCGCCCCCGCGAGCCCCGCGAACAACGCGAACCACGCTGCCCGACAGGAAGATTCACAGAGTACACAGCCTTGGTCGCTTCACGCGAACGCATACTGGCCGAATGCGCTAAAACCGAGTTCGTTCAGGGAGGTGTCTGTTTTCCGCGACCAACGCCGCCCAAACCCAACGTGGACAAGTCAAAATACTGCCGATTCCACAGGACCCACGGGCACGTGACAGAAGACTGCATCCATCTCAAAGATGCGATCGAAATCCTAATCAAAGACGGGCACCTGAAGCGATACACCCGAGGAGGTGAACCACCCAGGCCAGAGGCTCCGGAAGCTAAGAAAATCGAGGAACTCCCCTCTCCAGAGGACAGCGGCAGACTCTAGGTCGCGTTGTGCGTCAGCCGCCCCGAAGATTGGTTTGCGAGCAGAGAATTCGACATCCCTGAAGGACCCAACCTAATCGACGAGCCAATCCGACCAACCAGCCGATGGGAATACTTCCCCAGAGCCATGGTCATCTCTGATGGGGCCACGAGGAGTCTATCCATAGGATCTGTGAAAAGGAAATTCGACGAGCTCATCGCGAACAACTCCGGCAAGATGAGCACGCTAGACAAATTCCGAGGCCGCTCCAACCCGATCACATTTTACCTCGAGGAACTACCCGGGGGATCTCCCAATTCCAACATACCCTTGCTCATACGTGCCCGGATGGCAAACTTCGACGTCAGGCGCCTCCTCGTCGACAGCGGGAGCTCGGTTGACATCATGTACTCACATCTGTTCACAACTCTCCAGCTCGACGAATCCAACCTCTCTCCCTACGTAGGCTCCGACCTTCAGGGGTTCAACGGGACGACGACGAGACCTTGGGGATACGTGGAATTGAAA